TTTTGGGTGGTTTTATAGTGCAATGTTGTATATCTGAGTGAACTGTTCACTGCACAGATACTGTATGTATATTTTTGTATAGACTGATTCAGAAATTGGATCATTGATGATGCATCATTTAATGTGGCCAATGTGCCTTTTTTCTTATTATTTTTTATATCGCTGTGCTGCATTGGTACAGATGTTTAAAATCGACTGTGCTAAATGTTCTTGATTCCAGTTAATGCTGCTAAACTGCTTCTCTTTTGTCAATCAAGACTATTGTGCCGACTCCGTAAGAGTGGACTGTTCCAAAGGGTGTTCAGGGCGGCTTCTGAAGACAGTCGGTCATTTTATTCTCATGTGATTATGTAGTCAAATCAATCAAATATGAGTTTTAGAAGTCAGGCTGCAGAACTAGCAAACATAACTTTTCAAGGGTGTCAAAGTGAAGTTAATTACTTGCACATTAAATTCTATTTTTCTTTTAATACTAAGATTTTGCTTGTTTGATCTTTATGTATCTCAAGATGGTTATTGGGGAATATTAACATACTGTATATTTAACATTCGGTGCCTCACAGGTGCGCCACTGCACTGAATTGTCTGGGTAAGCTATCGCTACAGGTAACATTGTTTAGCGTAGCCTACGGTGTCACTTCTCTCTCAGTTTTGTAGCATTTCCAAGCAACAGCAGACATTTTACTATAAGCAAATGAAGCCAAAAAGGAGCAACACAGTATCACAGGGCTGGACTGAGGACTGAGTACATCTCACACACGGAGATCTGTATCTATACATCTCAAAGACTGGAAACAGGATAGAACAATTCTTCCTTTTAAATTAAAACTTTTAACGCCCAAGGACATAACCGTCGAGGCTGGTTTATACTGTATTCAATCCAGGTGAAATATTTTGTCTGGTACACCCACATCACACCCCCGCATTAACAATGGAGAGGGAAATGCAGGTATGTGACTCAACAAAGTTATATCATGTGATGATAAAAGGTGCAGCTCAGGTGATCCTTTGTACTCCCTATTTGGACATTGACTGTAAATACAGCCGTCACCCTCTCCAGGCCCTGTCCCCTGGCTTTCTGTGGAACTTAATTCATCTTAAATTTAAATGCTGTTTTACAAATTTTGAAATATTGGACACATTTATACCTGCCATTATTCTACACTTTTTCGTAACTTCATTCCGCCTTCACAATCCCATTTATCTGTTGTGGCCAGAGTTGTTCTATCAAATAAATACTGCCAGAGCTTAAACCAGAACTGAAATAGCTTGTAGTTATTTTAAAAACGAGTTCCTCTTCTTATATTTCCTCACTTCAATAGCGTTATGGTTGTCCCAAGTATTCTACTAATCTATTGCAGAAGAGCAGAATTACATTCGTCGCTTCTCCTTTTGAGTGCAGGACTTTTAAAATAAAGTATTGTTAACATTAAGGTTGTACTGCTACGTTTACACAAGACTATTTGAATAAGTTTGATTTGACCGCACATAAATACTAATGCAAGGTAAAAGGTGTTTGATGATATTATAGACATGTTCGGTTGTGCCCGGCTCAGTTTCATCTTGACTGACAGTAAAGTATCCAGCGGAGGAGAGTCGGGGTGGGGTGTTGATGTGTTTTACAGGGAAACGAAACCCGTTATTCTGCGCAGACGCAGTGGGTGCCGCCCAGTGGAAAAAGAGCGAGATCGAGTGAAGTTACAGCAGACCCGCGTTAGACTTCAAGTCTGTAACAACCTGTGGAAAAACAAAATCCAGAAGAGAAAACGGTCGACGGCTGATTTCTGTCGGTATCTATCAAAGGTAAGATCGACTTTCTCTTTATTTATTTGGTTGCTCGTGTTAAATTTTTTATTTATTTATTTTTTGCATAGTCATGGATATAAGGCATATTAGATAACATCCATACATGCTCATAATGCTGACGTACGAAAAGCAATAGCCTCCTCCCGACATGTTGCTCGTGGTTTTCTGTGGCTAAAAAAACGATGTACCCAGTGGGCGTTTAGACGGGTCCTTTGGGGGGGAAGCGGTAACAAAATATGTGGAATGTGGAATTTGGTCTTTTTCTCTAATGCACTTTTCCTGTTTATTGTGGTTTTTATGGTCTTTACGGAATACTAGCAGCATATTTCTGCAGACAATTATGCCTGCATTAACATTAACACAATAAAGGCCTGATGTCCAGCCCTATTATATTTAGTGTACTGCGAGGGACAAAAACACACTGGACCACTGCTGCACTGTAATGAAGGATCCATTGTTTTCCTTACCCAGAGATGGGAAAAAATACATCAAAATGTATTTTGATAGAAAATACCCCTCAAAGTGTGTCACACTCAGATAAAATATTTAACTTAACAGACAATCCGTTGAACTTGAAGATCTGAAGACTGAACTCGTGAACTGTTTTTTGATTTGTGGAGAAAGTAGTTTGAGTATTTTAAATACAGAATTACTCCACTCTAAAGTATTTTGTTACAAATTATGTTCGATTTTTTATTGGCCCTATCAAATACAAATGACAAAATACTCAAAAGTAATTGAAATACGTATTTCAAATACAAGAAATAGAAATAGTGCCCATCTCTGTGTCTAGGCTAGTGCATAGTCAGTGTTTAGCAAGTTAACTTATCAGTCGAGTAGCTAGCTATGAAGAGGGAGATTGGGAGCTTGCACTGTATTACAAGTTATAAAAAGTAAAATATATATACATAATCAATCAAGTTGTTGTCTTTTAATAGCTTTGCTTAGTTACACTGCCATTCTGTGACTGTTCTTCCTCTTTGTGGGCTTCACCAGAGCTTTGTGTACATTATATAGCCCAAACCTGAATGCTCTGCTATACCAAATTGTGAGAAAACGGAAAATCCAGAAAAAAGTATTTCCTATATTTTAAATACAAAATACATGTATTGTATTTTGTTACATTTTCTGGCACCAGTATTTTATTTTAATACATTTATTTGAGGGGTATTTTGTATCAAAGTACATTTTGATGTATTTTTGCCCATCTCTGCCTGACAGCATGCTAGCGTTATTAGCATGTTAGCATCGATCGCTAGCTTGATATTATAACCATCACCATGTATGTACAATAGGCTATGTAGCCAGACCCAGACATCAATTATACATCAAGCTAGTTGACATCTGTCACACTCAGATAAAATATTTACCTTGACAGACAATCTGTTGAACTTGAAGATCTGAAGACTGAACTCCTGAACTGTTTTTTGAGTCGTGGAGAAAGTATATTGAGTATTTTAAATACAAAATTACTCCACTCTAAAGTATTTTGTTACAAATTACGTTCGATTTTTTTATCGGCCCTATCAAATACAAATTACAAAATACTCAAAAGTAATTGAAATACGTATTTCAAATACAAGTAATAGAAATACTGCCCATCTCTGCCCCTACCATTATATTAGGGGGGGTGCCTGCTCTCCCCCAACGCCCCCCCTCCGTCCCCCTTGAAGGTAAAGTTAATTTTGTTTAATTTAATTTTCTATATATAGCGTCAGATCACAACAGAAGTAATTTAAGGTTACCTTTCCTATATATACAGTATATATATATGCCCACGTCTTGCAGTGACAGAACCCATTAGTTATATTTACACTACAATGATTAAAAAAGGTAATTTTAAAAGAAAATGAAGGCCGGCAATGTGATTCTATATTCAAGCAAATTACTAATACTCTAATATTCACAAAGACATCACAGATCACATCCTAACAATGGGTACATCCCAATTCTCTTTTGCATCCCCGTTTCCTTCACTTGCGTCTTTTCCTTGCGTCTTAGTCCCTCCCACCAGGGATGCATGGAGAGACGCAAGGAAACCATGCAAGGAGAGAGGAAACGAGGAAATATGTTTTAAGAGATATGAGATGTCCTTTCCTCAGTAGAGTCACGTGAAGCGACGTCTGTTTCTGATGACGGCAGCCACTGATCAGCTGTGATCAGCTGTCAGTCGGCTTAAACAGCTGGAGAGACTTTTGATAAGTTTGTCTGTTCACATGATCACTGTACTTAATAATAGTAACTAATAATACTAATAACTAATAAAGACACACAGTAATCATCACTGTCAGAGTAGAGGTGTTTTCTCTCTGTAGCCTGTTACCTGTCTAACAAACTGCATTGAGTATTTATACTGTGTTCTGTGGTATTTATACATAGTCTGTGGTATTTATACTGTGTTCTGTGTCCTGTTTATAAGCGCAGGACCGAGTTCCACCGGCGGAATGCATTCGTCCTATTTATTAATTACTTGCATGTGTATGTTTTGAAATTCTGACATTCAGGAATGATCAGCCTCACGTGACTGAATGAAATGATGATAAATGATGTAAAAAGTGTTTTGTCTCTCCAGCTCTCTCAGTCTTTAATTGTATCCATAATAAAAGTTATTGAGGGAAATATCAGATCATGAAAAGACAAATCTTTCTAATAAATTAAGAAAGTTGTTTGTGGTCCTTTGTTGTTCAGACTACAATTAACATTTATTTAAACCAGATGGTGAATCAGAAAACTAATAAAATATAAAACTTGAGTTTAATCTCTGATCTGTCTTCACTCTGGTATGAAACTCCAGTGATATCTAGAAAAATCAGATCAGTCTGATCAGCTGCAGCGTCCAATCACATAACTTATGAACAATGAGGGGGCGTGTCGTCCGTTAAAACACTTCCTGGAAGGCTGTTCTCATGCGTCCTCGCTCATGGCTCCTCAGAGATCCCTCCTCGCTCGAGGAGCGAGGAAATGACAATTAAGAGACTTGGGATGTACCAAATGGCAGACAGTTGCAGCACTTGCATTGCTTAGGTCTGGCTTTACTCTTGACCGAGGTTACAGAAACTTTGGGCTTACTGGTTATGTAAAACAATAGGGGGGGCTCATTACCATGAGAAAAAACAGCACTTTTGACTGCTATTACACGGTTTTTAACATAAATCGTGGGAAAATAGAGCTGTTCACGACAAAACGTGCGCAAGCGAATACCCTCAAAAAAAGAGCTGAAAAATATATTTATCTACATTTTGCATTTCTCTGTAGCGGAAACAAGATTCTAAACTGAAGCAATTTTTGATCACCAGATTTCATCCACACAAGTCAAGATGATAATGGGTTAAAAGTAACTGTAAATGTTTTCTCTTGCAGATGGAAGGTGATAATGGGAGAAGCCAAAGTTGATAATGTGACGAAGTAAGGAGAAAGAAAATCATGGGTGAGTGAAGAGACGAGTCCTTTTTTATGAGATGTCCTTCCTATTTTCAGTACAAAGGTCTATAGTATTTTGATCTGTTTGTAGTGAAATGTATATATTTTTTCCCTCTTTGCTTTTAAAGTGTTAATACCTTCTAACCATTTACTGTTATGTATATATTATTTACATTATGACATTAATATGTATTTTCATATTAACAATGAGTCAAATGATTATCTGTAATAAGAGTTCCCCTCAACCATATGGGGCATTTTAGAGTCTTTCAGCACATGGTTTTGATTCTACAGAACACAAAGTTACTGTTTTGGTTCAATTTAATTCCTCATTTTTATTGAACTTATTCCCACCTGACACCTGTTTTTGGCAAAAAAATCTTTCATAGCACAGGGCTCCAGACTAACGTTTTATGTTGGTTGCATAATACATTTTACGCATTACCTTTTTTGTCAGTTCCCAAACACATTGGTAATTCCACAACACATTAAGCAAATAAGGAAGGGATCCAATGGGACAATGGCCCCCCCCCGCTCAATGTTCCTGTCCTGCATTTGGGAATAAGTGTAGATGAACAAAACAACATGTATATTACCCCGCGCAAGCTTTGATGTTCGCAAGACTGGGTTTGAGTGCAATCCACATGTTTACATATCATGGAGCGGTCCCTCATTGAGAATGTTTGGGGTGGGGCAGCTTCCTTCCATCTCAGTTATACTGCGCATCTAGCTGGAAGAGTGGCAAAACACAGATGATTACGTTTAGTTGATTTCAGATCCTCATCGGCAACTCCAAATAGGGCTGCAGTTAGGTTCAATTGCACAGTTTAGAATCTGAGAAAGTGATTTCAGCTCCGATTTTAAATCTCAGAGAGTGCATACTGATCTTTTGGTGGATGGATTGAAAGCAAGCACCAAGACCAATTAAAATAGCACCAGGTGCCTTGAGTAAGTAGGATATTTGGTGTCTAATCTGTGAATAATTAACGAAGTGGGCCTTTGGCAGGTTAAACCTCCCAGACAATTAAAGAAATGAGACAAAGCAGTCTGATCAGGCCGGTATTTAATGCATTATAGGCGTCTTCTGTACCAGTCCTGGTATGTTAGAAATTTCATGGATTGGATAAAAGTTAGCGGCAATGGGGCTTGTGAGAAAAGAAGGTTGGATTCCAAATCTTTTCCTGAACTGGACCTTCATTCTCAGAGTGTGACTCATAGTTGAGTAAGTAATGAATCACCCTCTGCTGGAAAGCAGATTGATTAAGTAGTGAGATATGATCAATGGTCAATATGCCCACGCAATTGCCAGAGGTTCAAGTCGAAAAGCTACATTTTGTTTGCAGTTTGTTCTGCTGCCCCCAAAAAATACTGGATTAAAGTCTTAGATAGCAATTGATTGGGAAGTGAAAGGAAGTTGCAAAGCATTGAGATATGGACTAACACATTCTTGGTTTTCGACCCATCATCGGATTTGTTGACAAAATGAAAAATATTATTCAACAAACTTCTCTAAATAAGCAAATTGCATACGCCTGAAGTGTGGCAGAGAAATAAAGTGCTTCTCTGATTCTCTCATTCATAATCAAACATATTTTTCTCTCTTTTCTCACTATACAGCTGATGAACTGGAGCAGTCACCCAAGGATTTGACTGAATCTCAAGTAAGCGACTGGCTAAGATTAATTGGGGTGAAGAAGCAGTACATAGAAAAGCTCTATGAGGAAGAGGTAGATGGACAAATCCTTCTTGCACTGAATGAGGACTTTTTGAAGACAAAGATTGGCATGAAATCAGGGCCTGCTCTTTTGATTATTCAAAAGAGAGATGAGCTCATCAACTCCAAGAAAAAGTCTCAAGAGAAGAAAAAGACCACCAGTGGCAAAAAAAACGAGTTGGAACAGAAAAACAATGATCAAAAATCTGTTCAATGTCTTCCCACAACAAGTGAAAGTTCTCCTGCACAGATTCCTGAGAAAGATCAAGCTGTCGTAAAAGACAGACAAACAGCTCAGGTTACTTCAAAAGAAGACTGCAGACCACGGCCATTTGATCAAGAAGGGATTGATTTCTTGTATGTAAAGCACAGAGTCCTGCAACCTGAATCAGGTGCTTTTAATCTGATATCTCCATGCCATGAATTTAAGTCTCTAGCTCTAGCTGCTGCGTTGGATCGCACAAGACTCCAAGCTAAGTTTGCCAAAGAGGTCCTTAAATTTGCAACTGGCTGTATGAATATCAGATCAAATGGCACAATACACTTTGGTGTGATGGACAGCAAGGATGATGCAGGATATGTGCATGGTGAGATAATTGGTATCCCTGTTCAAGAGAAAGACATTTATGTAGATGCTTTGGACTACATTGAAAGGAGTTTCTCTTCTGGCAGGGAGCATGTACGCGGGTGTGTGCGGCCACCAAGGTTCATTGAGGTTGTGGATCTAGAAAGTACAGAAAAGAGCTATGTGATAGAGGTTGACATTGTGCCTTCAATAAGTATTGTTAAGAACAAGGTGTATAAAGTTCGTCTGCCAAACTTCAAAGAGTCATCTAACCAAGTAGAATTTGAGAAAGAAACGATTCTGCGGAGGGTGGGTTCAAAGACGGAACCGGTGATCGACAAAGACATAAGTGATTTTTACGAGCGTGTCAAAGATCGCGATGCCCAAAGAGAAGAAGCAGAGAAAAATCAGTTCCTCAGTGCCCCAGACTTCTGCCAAGACCTTGGAAGGAAACTGAAAATGCTAATGACTTGTGGGAAGAAATTTATCGAAAAGGAGAAATGGTTCATACTCATCACAAACAAATTCAACCCTGATGACCTTTGCAACATTGAATGGCTGCTTAACATGACCGTGTTCTGTGTGTTTGACTTTGACCCAGACTCAAAGATATCAGGTCTTTGCAGTAAGTACCTTAAGCATCACGCTGCAAATATGCATTCTCTGCAGAGCTATAAGAAATCTGATGACATGAGCATCAAAGAATTCACAAGCCACTTGCATCTGTTTGAGCAAACTAGTTGGATCTTTTGTAATGGCCGTACTGACTTCAAAGGAATTGACCCTGAATGTGATGAAATGACTTGGATCAAGACAAAAATGACTGTCCTGCGGGAATCTGTGTCTTTGATCTGTAAGCAAATCTTGCCAAAAGGGACATTCCAGGTTGTTTTTCTTCTCACATCACCAGTTGAGAAACCACTCTTGCACACCTTTAATGAGTTTTTCACAGACATGGAAGGCCATGAAGACATCATCTGCATCTGTGAATCACAGAAAAACTTCCAAAAGTGGCAAAGCTTTGCAGAGGGGTCATGTGGAACAGAAAGTGTGAACAATTCCAGCGTTGTTGGGATGAAAATGAGTCACATTAATGCAACTCTACAGCAAGTACAATCTGTAAAAGCATGCGCCAGAAAACACTTGCCAGTCTTTGTGAGGGGGACTTGTCTTCTTGAAACACACGAAGAGGAAAATATGTCTTCTCTGGAAATTCTGACGGTCGATCATTGTGATGAAACAACCAAAGACTTCATTGATGAGGAGAAAGCAAACATTGACCAGCAGTTCTACCATGGTGGTAGAATAAACTGGTTGAATTTCTGGCTTGCTGAGCACAAGTATGTTGGAGAGGTAATTGAAAGAGATGCTTATCAGGAAGTTTCCAATTGTGTTGACGCTTTGAAGTGGAATGCAGATCAGCCTCCTGTAAACAGCATAAACATCTTCCATCATCCAGGAAGTGGTGGAAGCACTGTTGCAAGACAAGTGCTGTGGAACAACAGGAAAGGTCTACGGTGTGCAGTTGTGAAGCCTTCATACTCAGCTGCTGTTGTTGCTCAACATGCAGTTGAACTGAGAGAATATGAAGAAAAAGATCAACAGACGTGTCTTCCTGTGGTGCTCCTCATTGAAGACTTGGACAAAGAATACCTAGATGATCTCAGGAACGAACTGGAGGTTGCCACTAACACCAAAAGAATCCTGCATGGAACTCTGTGTTTCATTTTGTTGAGCTGCAGACGATCCCATAATCCAGAGAAAAGATGCAAGGAGTCTCCGTTACAGAATGTGTCTGTCACTCACAAACTGTCTGATCAAGAGAAGAGAAAGTTTGCTGGAAAACGAAAAGAGCTTACACAGTTAGGATATGAAGCGGATTTCATCCTGACATTTGTTTTGATGAGTGAAGGATTCGATAAGAAATATGTTCAACAGTTTGTGGAACATTTGCTCCAAGGCATTGACCACCAATCTATTGTCACTAGCCTCATTCTCTATGTAGCACTGCTGAACACTTATGTTCAAAACTCTTTCATCTCTCAGTCTCATTGTCAAGCTTTGCTTGCCTTAACCATTCACTTGGAAAGGTTTCGCCAACATGAGTTTGAGAGATCACTCGGTGACCAGGCTAAACTAATCTTCTTGCACCTTAGGGATGACGAGACGCACATTGAATCAATCAGAATCATCCACCCACTCATTGCAGAGGAAATTCTTCGACAACTTTTGGGGAACCAACAGACCCAAAGCAGTTTGGCAATGAAATTGCTGAGCAACGACGTGCTTTTTGAGCACAGATTTGGAAGGGAGGAATATCTGTCATTTCTGAGAGCACTTTTCATAAGGCGATCCAGAATAAGCAAAGGGGACACATATGATAGTTTTTTCTCTCCTCTGATTGAGCATGTGTGTGGAAAGGAAAAAAGCCCAGATAAAGCAATTGAGTTACTCAAGGAAGCGTTCCAGCGTTTCAATAAAAATCCATTCTTTGCACAACAACTTGCTCGTCTTCATTACACTTATGAAAAGTTTGAAGAGGCAAAATTCTGGGCAGAGACAGCAGCAAAACAGCTGCCCAACAACTCGTACATACTGGACACAAAGGGACAGGTGTACAGGAAATGGTTCCAAGCTAAGTGCAAAGCCATTGAGAACGACAATGTACCAAAGACAGCGCAGAATATAGCAGATGCTGTGGAGACTGCACTGAAAGCCCAGGAATGTTTTCAAGAATGTGAGAAAGCAGCTGACGCAGATATGGAAAACAGTAACAGCTCAGGGTTTTTCTCTGAAGTTGAGGTTGGATGCAGCCTGCTCAAACTGATCTCTTCATCGCAAGTGTTTGCAAACGGAGCCAATGGCCATTCAGAGTGTATGAAGTACCTGTTAACGGACTACATTCCTGAGGAAGTTGAAGACGCCTGGGAACCATTTCATGGCCGTTTGAAAAAACTCAACAAGACAATGCAAGATGCCCTCGAATGGATTTCAGTAGACCTCAGTTACTTCCAGACAGACATTGGTTCAGATGGAGAAGAGACCCCTGAAAGTCCTGAGGAGAAGATAAGCCATCCACTGAAATGGTTGGCAAAAAAATCTTCAGTGTATGGGAAATATTTCAGTGAAACTTATTCTACTGCGCTTCAAGGGGAATCGATCCCAGCCAATCTGACTCCTTTCCAAAAACGCATGATCATCTATCATCTTGGTGGGGGCAACATAACATCCATCCTCTCCAAGCTAACAGACCAGAAGGATGCAGTGCGTCGTCTCGAGACCATCCTTTCTCTCTACCCCAGAAATCCAAAAACGGCCAAATTTGGTCAAAGGGATATTGTCAATTACATAATGGTCCACCTTACTCTGAACTGTCTGTCACCGCAGATTCAAAAAGTCGCTCCTCTGAAAGATCTGCAGGCACTTTGTCATCAGTTCCCAACTGATAAAACGAAATGTTTTCCAAGTGCCCTGTTTTTGCTTACCTTGCTATTCTGGCCAGAGGATCATGACACAGATGATGAGAAAAAAAACAAATATGAAATTGTGCACTCAGCTGTTGAACAACTGGAAAAAGACTATTGGACCAAGAGGAAGGACATCCCTCAGAGGAAAAGAAGGATTTACACCCATTTCTTTCTGGGCAGTGGGAACGGACTGGATAAATTTGTCCACAAGAGAAAGGTTGAGGAAGTCACAAAGGGGTTCTCAGTCTCTGAGAAACGCATGAAGTGGTATCGGGGTGAGGCATGGAAAAAGCCTGAGATCGCCGCGATGCTGAAATGTGTTTCTGGATGGACTGAAGATGGAGTGGTGTACCTTGAAGGCCCTCGGAAAAAGAAGTTCAGTATCCAGCCTCTTCATGTACCATCAGTGCCTCATAGTAATGAAAACATCACGTTCTACCTGGGGTTCACATTCAGAGGGCCCTTTGCCTGCAACATCATTGTGAAACAATAGTTTGTTTTTGAACAATGATCCTGTCACATGTGGCTGTACGTCATCTTCCTGAAGCATGGGCTTAATACCCACCTCGTTACCAAGAACAGATTAAAAAAGAAGGATCTTGACAAAACACAAAGCTTCTATCTGCAGTATATTGAAGCACGTGTTATGGCACAAATTGCTATTTTTTTTGTAAGATAGTTTGATTACTATTTTTTACATTTTTCTCCTTTCATACTTGTATATAGATACACATGTGTCCTGAACAAAAGAGCTAGAGGTTTATAAGTGTATGTATATAAAAATGGACAAATCTTGTAAACTGAAATTCCTACTCAACAGCTCAATGCTTCTCAAACAGGAACTTAAAGTCCCTGTTTAGACCTGAATCTAGTATCCTGTTATTTTGATATTGTTTGTAGATCCACTTCAGAAGGACTGCAGTTCACATCTGTCATCAAAATGCATTTGGAATGCATCGCAAGTGAGGATTTGTGCCTGGATTTTGCTAACTGGTTCACGTTTTGTGTTATCCTTTGTAAACTGAACTAGACTGCTGTTAGACAGAAAAGAAACCGAGTAGATGAATTGATTGTGGTTCATAATGTTATACTAACTCTTCTATATCTTCCAGGATGCAATATAGAAAGCAATGGAATCAAATGCAACTTCATTGGAATTGTATCAGTGTTTTAACAACATATGTTTTAAGACCTAAGCAGCAACATTATGTACATTTGGAGAAGAACGTGTGTCTCATATATTGATATGCAAAAGAAAAACAAGCGTAATAAAGTGTGAAATTATGGAAAAATTAAACTACAAGTTACGCCAGTACCTTTGGCGATACCTTTCTATTTTATATACTTATATTGTTTTTGATAGTAACATGAAGAAATACTTGACTCTGTAAACATTACTGTTCTGAAATATTTTAAACATGTCTTGGAAGAAAATAAACATTTTTTCTTCAATTGTAGTTTGTTTTATGTTGTCAATCCTACTACATCAACCTTTGAAGTTCAACTGATAGTGATAGCCCTTTTAGGATATATTAATTTATATTAGAGGAGCTTTGTCTGTTAATCTCTTCATTGTCATCACCACTACACATGTTGGAGCTAAGCCGTGTAGTTTAGTAATTAATAAAATGTGTTATAAAATGACCTGAAGACCAAAATGGTGGCTGTTTGATTGTAGTTGCAGGCATTCTTCACGAGTAAACCAGGTCGGTCAATACAGGATTAATACATTTGCAACGCAGATGAGTTTAAAAACAACCTGATTTGAGATATTTCATGATTTAAAGAGAGTGAACAACTTTTCAGACATTGTGCAAAGACAAGAATCTAAAATGTTTACCAAGCTATCAGTTGTGGTTTTGATAGCGGTTGCACACACAGGCAATTTTCTGTGTACTTCAATTTAATTAGTGTGTGCTCATCAGATTTACAGGTACTCAAATAAATGATATTTACATATCAAATAGTTTTAATAGGTAAACACCACATATTTCTGCCAACAACCCTTACATACAGTCAATGGCAACAACACACAATATTTAATAATTATTTGAAGGGACACCCAAAAAGATCAATGATACATATTTTATTCTCTTACCTGTTGTGCTGTTTATCAATTTTGATTATTTTAGTGTGAGTTGCCTTGTGGGAAGTTTACTGCCATACAGTCACAATATATTTGAGACAAGGCTGATTCCAAAACCAAAATATATATTTTTTACTTTGTCCATTTCAGTCTGAAATGATGAAAATCTAACTACATTAGTGTGATCAGGAAACGAAACATCATATTAAGGATCTTGATTACAATAACTTTGACACCAGCTGATTTTCTAAACAACATATTTTATTTCCTTGAGTGAAAGTTTTTGTTTTATGACTGACTTGATGTTGTTTTCGTTAATTCACAAAAATGAGAAGAGACGACAGGAAGTGAAGTAGCAACAGTGCTAGTTTTTGACCCACTGTGCTTGCCCTAGTTTGGTGTTCGCCTGCAGTTTGCACCGTCCTCTCCACACTTATTATCCCGTCGTATATAACTTATGTCAGTCGAACTCTACTTGTCTGCTTCCTTGCAACACAACTTGTTTGCTGACACTACTCGCACGTTATTAGGTTGTAGAGAAATGTTGAATAGTAACGTTAGCTCTGACCGCACTGAACCGCTGGATAAACAACAGCAAGCTAACAGCTAATAAACTCAACTGTTACTGAGACATTCATAACGGTTCACGTCCACAAAATGAACTACGCCGTGAGTGTAAGTGATTTTTTTCCATTAGCTGCTTCATGCATTAGGTCCACGTTT